ATCGTCATGTCTGTTCTTTTTGTCGACTGAAGAAATGTTTCGAAAATGGAATGCAAACTGAATTGCTTCGAGCTTCAAGATCGAATAAGAACAAAAAATATCAAAAAAAGAAGGTGATATTCGAACCAGTGACAACAACATCCAATGCTTTAGTAAGAGTAATTGCGAGGAATCAACCACAACAGGTAAGATTCTTAATCTCTTCTATTTGTTTCTCTGAAAAGTGAACACGTGTTGTCACTATCTGTCGGCGAACTGTAGTAACGTTATTAAACGATGAAAAGTTTTTTCATCGTTTATGGCTCTTCATTGAACACATCTACTATGTGACGATAAACAACTTTTGAAAGTAAATTGATTAAATGATGGGCATGTGTCATTATCATGAAACTTTTTCTCACTTATTGCTCTGAAATAGAATTCAGAATGGTGATTCAATCTTTATTTCACACACAATGAAATTCATCGAAGAGAAATATTTAACTTATAAGAGACAATAAGAAATTGTTGTTTGCCTTCGAGTACTGTTTAATGTGATTTAAAACAGCAGAAAATTACGTAAAAATTGATCGTATTTCATTGATAAGAATAAAGAGTAAGAGGTTTTCGTTGATTTGAAAATCCTTTGAATTTTCCGGCGTTTTTTTCTGTCAATTGTAAATGAATCGAACCATATATGAAGGAAAAGTCAAGAGATAATAAACAAAGCTTTTTGAAACTTGACAAGGTAATGAAAGCTTGAATAAGACAATTATTGTTTTTGATCTCGTTTTGTGACTCATCAAGACGGTGACTATTTTCAATGAATTTTGTATTCTCAATTTTAGTTTCCAACTTTCAACATACTGCAATCAGATCAATCCGCATTAACCATCGATCAATGGAATCTTCTGTCGAATTTGATTCATTGCTACGACGAACACAGTGGATTTTCGGCGGTTGAACGATACACACGCGAACAAAATGCTCGACCTCTCAAGACACGTCATAAAGTTGCATCAGTCAACGAACTTCTTACGTCATTAATGTTTGGAGCTCGACTGTTGTTCGAAAAGAATCCTGATTTTCTCTCGTTAAGTTCACAAGATCGTTCTATTTTGCTTCAGAGAAAACTCAAATATGTCTCGGGCATTGGTGCATGTTTCCTATTGCGTCAAGCTGCATTGCTTGACAATCCGGCGTTCTATCTGGCCGTTGAAAACATTTATGGATCAGCTTCAGCATCAGCTGGTAAGTTAACGAGTGAGCGTCTCGATTCTGATATTGTATTTATCAAACTGGCACTTTCGATTCTTGCTTTCTCTACATTTGAATACACATTTTACACAAATACTGCTCCTGTCTATCTACAAAATGTCATAGCAGTGTTACGCGTTCAAGACATGTACATTGAACTAGCATGGCGATATTTGGTCTACAAATACGGTTGCTCTCACGCTGTCATTAGTTTCTGTAATCTTGTACGGTCCATTTTTAATGCCAAAAACTCTACGGTTGAAGCGTTTGAATGTAAACAATACACGGATACCCTCGATGTTATTGTTAAACAGACTGAAGAGACACTTTCTCTCAATAGTTGAGTCCTGCTTGTCTTCTGCTCTTGTATGTTCACAGATCTCAGTTCTTTTCAATAAACAAACGACATAAATAAAACGATGCTTATGAAAAGCATAAGGCTAGTTTTTACCATCGATGAAAAGTTAGTTTTTTGTTCAGTTCTCTTTTATAAGGTATCATTATAGCAAACAAATATTGATAAAGCACTCTTCTTCTGTTTTCAGAACTTTCCCACACAAAAATATGTGATCGTGATTCCAGATATCTCTTCTTGTGATATTAAAGTGCAAGAATCGTTGAAATATAAAAAAACATCATTTTTCACTCAAGAACTATTCTATTGATGGCAACTATGATTCAACATAGAAAAACTGAACCCCTCTTATTAGCAAAAAAGATAGATACAGCTACAATGTAAATGAATGTATTTAGTGCTCTATTCATCTTCGTAACAATATTTGAACAAAGAAAAGTAATAAATATTTTGAAAAAATGCTCGCACAGTGGCTGGATCAAATCATAACCAATAACTTTTAAGTTGCTGTTTACCCAGACGAGAAAGTAGAAATAGCACAAATGATGCCGATTGATTAAATAAATTCATTTGAATTCTTTTGAGAAATACAATTCAATGAATTAACTTGGTATTGAAAACTTGATTTTGATGCTCTTCGTTGATTCTGACTGCATGTTCATAGGAGAAGACGGATTATTCGATGTTTCATCATAACAGAAGTAAATCAACAAACTATTCCATCTGATAAATAGACGTTGTGGGTATGTGTGTGTGTGGCGGCACACTTCGCATGTTCTCAGTATCAATGTCCAAGCAATCTAGAGATTCATGGAAAGAAGGATATGCTTGTAGATGTGGAATATTCTTATGTGAGTGAATATATTCACATTGTATTTGCAGGCATGACAGCTATTTTTATGGGAGATTCTACAATGCATACTGTTGATTTATACAGTCGTGAGTTCTTATATTAAAAAAATCTGCAGAGAATATGTTCAAATTGATGGATGCTGTTCTCAACAAATTCGATGCTCAATAGTATCGAAAATGAGCAACTTTCACTATTGATCGTGGTTCACATTTGAAAGCAACTCTGTCACAGCAACACATTGTGCACTATATTTTTCATTGTATTTATAATATTTTCATAGACACTTTCAGCTGTATGAAAGTCATCTTAGGTAGAAATTTCAAGATTTATTAATCTGTTTGATATAAAAATAGTGCTCAAAACTACTGTGACTGATATAATTTCATCTACCAGAAATAGAAAAGAGAAGACGAATCTGATGAAACTTACTCTGATGAATCCAGTGATAAATTTTTTGACCGATGTACCGATCCATAATGTGAGGTAGTTTTAACCTTCATCGGTGTAAGAAGATGATTTGATACATCAGAAAAACCGTTTAAACTGAAAATACAAGAAGAGGATGGCTCATGCCTTTCTCAAGAAAATCAAATAAATGCTTGTTGTTGCATGCAATGCAATGTAGCATCGATAAGTCCTATGATATTCTGCTTGTAGTTATGTCTGAAATGAATGCACTACATCATCTTACATCAATAGAGCAAAAACTACTTAAAGTAAGACCTATATTTTCTGAAGTTTTTTTCAGACTTTTCAAGTTAATCAGGGGAGAAAATCGTGTTATAATCATTCTAGGTACGTTCAGTAGACATATGCACCACTAATAACTACGAGAAAGTTGCTTCTATTTTCGAAAGTTCTACGTTATCTATGGTAATTCCATGTATTTGGTATTTAAAGGATGAACTTAAGACCACAACACTTGACTAATCGGCACTTTATGTTTTTAAAATAAGTGTGCTGCTATCTTCGAAAAGAAAATAGAATTACAACTTATACATTTTGCAACTGCCATATTGAATATCATTTATCATAATTTGCAGCGGGTAATCAAAGAAGAGCAAATTCGAGCTCAAACATACCTTAGAAAACGATTAGATATCCTTGCAAAGCTAATTGCTTCGGCAGAAATAGTGGAAAGGGATAGCAATGATGAAATTGGCCAATTGCCATTATCTATCATGATATTTCAATAGTCCACCAATATCTGGAAAACAAGATGAAGTAACTTGTTATCTTAAATTTGACCATCGTAAAACAAACACAAATAATACACTTGAATATTGAAAGTCGATGTCTAACTCTTCTATCTTTAGCAAAAGTTGTCTTCCAAATTTTAACTGTGCTAGCAACATCGGCAAGTGCTAAGTGTACGTTTAGCACGGTCGGTCAAGTGATCTCTGCACGATGATCAAACATTCCTCCGGAATTAGTAAACAGCATTCTTTTTCTATGCTCCACCAAGAAAATAAAATAAAATGTAGCACAACAGAAGGAAAAAGGAATTTAAAATAGAATGCTAAAAAAAAACAAAACATGGTTGGCTAATATTGAATTTGTTCTTATTTGACTACGTTCTAGTCGTATTGGGTCCCAAAATGAGATGTTATTGCAGCATTGGGTTTTGGTCTAGTCGAATCGAATCACCAAAAAATGACTCATGTCGGAAACTAATGCTTTTACATTGTGACATTAAAAATCTCTTCAATTTCACCAATTATTCGATCATCATTCTGTAGTCTTGTAATATTAATAACTGCAATATTTTATATAAAATCGCTGTTTCATGATAATTCAACATAGAAAGAGTGCTTCAAAGCTACTATACTGACAAAAACTAGAACATTTAAGAATGAATTAATGTACCTATTCAAATACCGAAGTTCTAATAAAATACATTTTATCTTTGTATATGAGATTTGTTTTTTTTTTCTATATTTGCTCTCGATTGCCCTTCGATTATATTTGTATTTGGTTCTCTAGTATACTGTTAATTAAGCAGTATCCTTACCCACCTTCTTTTTCAAATATAAGGCGTAGATTAAAAGAAATAAAAAAGGTCCACTCTTTAACAGATGTTTTCATTTTCATCATTGACATGTACATAAATGCAGAGAGTCACACGCATATAAGCAATATAGAATGCAAAAATAATGAATATGATGTGGGCAACATATCTTTTGTTTTTATTGGTGACATTGGAGTGAGTAATAACTGTGCATTAATCTTAAAGTAAGATAAACTATTGCTCATTTTTAGTTTCTCAGGTAAAGTCTATCCTTTTCATTGATGAATCTATTTTATATTGATTAAGCACTTCGAGTCGAAACTAAGACATGTCAAAACGCTTTTCTTTATGACCAATGTTCATCCAATATTGCATGTGGTTGTCTTCAGTCGGCTCATACACATACTGACGGCATTTGTTCTTATCTGTATGTTGCATGCTCTGAATTGAACGCATATGCAGCCGATAATCGAACATGCTGAGAATCTGAACATGAATGCGTCATACATCCGCGTTGTCATAATGCTCCATTGTGTTATCCTATGAACATGGCCACAGAAACCGTATGTCCACTTATATTGACGACAACAAGTAATTGTTGTGAACTTGTCAAATACGTATATGATGTCAATATTTCATATTTTTTAGATAATCCTTCATTACCTCACGATGGGATATGCGCGAAATCAAAATGGAACCATGAAGGTGTTATTGTAGTTGGCGGAGACTATGGGTCTAATCTGAAACAACTCAAAGCTCCTCATGGTATGTTTGTAGATGATAATGATGCGATCTATGTTGCAGATGGTGCAAACCAGCGAGTGGTGAAATGGGAGCCCGGAGCTACGGTTTGCCAAGTGGTAGCTGGTGGTAACGGAAAAGGGAATAACAGTAATCAGTTTGAATTTGTAACAAAAGTTGTTGTTGACAAAAATGGAACCATGTTTATATGTGATACTTATAATCATCGAGTACAGCGATGGTTTAAAGATGCTAATCATGGAGAAACAATTGTTGACGATATTTTATGTTATGGATTAGCGATGGACAACGAAGGATCATTGTATATCTCTGACCAAGCTGAGGATAGTGTAGTCAAATGGCCCGGTAAAGAAATAGTTGCTGGTGGAAATGGAAAAGGATTTGGTTTGAATCAATTAAATGATCCCAATCATTTATTTGTCGATCGAGATAAGTCAGTATATGTGGCCAACAACTTCAATTATCGGGTAGTGAAATGGCTTGCTGGTACCAAAGAAGGCATTATTGTGGCTGGTGGTAACGAAGAAGGATCTGCCAAGAATCAATTGAGTACACCACAGTCGGTGGTCGTTGACGATTCAGGCACTGTCTATGTTCTTGATTATGGTAATGATCGAGTAACACGTTGGTTTGAAGGTTCTACATGGGGTAATATTATCCTTGGTCGACCAGGATGGGGTGATGATGCATCTTATATATCATGTGCAAATGATTTGGTACTTGATCGACATGGAAACTTGTATGTTGTTGATAATATGAATGCTCGCATTCTTAAATTTACTATCGACAAAAGCGGTTGTTCGGCAGGTAAATTTTTAAGCTTACTATTGATTAACTAATTATATTGTTGGTTTCTCTACTTTTTCTAGAGTGACCAACAACGATGCACTTCAGTTGCATTAGTCATTTTCTATGTACTACTATTGAGATCCGTTTTAAATAAATAAGTTTATATAATTGATTTAATGTTATGAGAAGGGATAACTTGGTAAGTATGATTTCTTTTACACTAAGTTTCAATAGAAACGCAAATCCAATGTGTCTCAGAAAATTTATAAAAGATCGAAACAAATTCAAATTATATATCGTTGTACGACATGTCTAATAAGGTTGTGGATGTGGGTGTGGATGTTTTGCTAGAAAACACCGATATTCACATCCATACCCACACCGTAGACCAACTCATACGATGACAAATAAATTCAGACGCAGATGCAGAGACACCCTATACTTACAACTTCACACGTACATGATACACCCACAGTCACATTCTGACAAAGCATCCATCCAGCATAACGATATGCTAACATACAAGCACACCAAACACTAATAACCATATCTCTGTAATCACACCCTTATTCTCACAGTCACATGCTAAAACTCTCGACCTAACACGCTTAACTTCTCACCTTTATCGTCGTTCTTCTCACACACTTATTTTCATATCACTATGCTGATATGCATAACATGACACCTAAATCAAGTCTTATTCTAACACACATTTCTATCTGCCACTATGCTCGCACTCGTTAAGTCACAATGTTATCCAGACACTTGTTGCTACCCATATCTCCATGCTCTTCTAATTTTATACATCACCCCTACGCTCGCACCATTAGTTTCAAACACCTAACTATGCACCTGTATTCTAAGACTTTGTCCTATCCGTCATGATGTTCATATCTGGCATCTCTTACTGTGAACATGGCACCATTTTCTGGAAAGCCTTCTTACCCGCATGCTCAATTTCGCGTCCACTCTCATTACCACACTCGCATACTGACAACTTGAGGCTCACATTCTTATAATAACAGTCTTATCATCATGCTCTTCCACTTCCCCTGTTGACGATACTTCTACTGTATGCTGAAGTTCTTACATAAGCACAGGCAAACCAATATCAATAAAAGCTTCTAATATGCTAGATTAACATTCAGATTAAGATCTTCATACGAAACATCCAGACTCGATGAATCTCACATACATAAAGAATATATTACCGATACCAGGATCTAATGCATAGAAACTCATCAACATGCCCAACATGTCGAAAAAAATATATCCATGTCTGAATACATGTCCTCCGAATTCTCAACTCTCGCTAATGCATACTCATAGATATAATAACACTCATGTGTATCTTCAACTGGATATTCGAGATTTTCAATTATTCTTCCTGATAGGTAGTTCAGACCATTCGGCAGAAATGTATTCGCTCCTCTTACTGGAAAAAATCGAAAAGATGAAGATGAGATTAGACCTTTCAGAAACCACTTGATATGTGTTTTTTTAACAGTTCCGAACTGAATTCTCATTTCCAGAACCTGAATGCATCCAACTCAATAATTAGTCACATCACTACAGGTACTTCTCCACACTAAAAGCCGAAGTACCACTCTCACAAAATGACATATTTTCGTACTTCATCGCCAAGAAAGATACCATACGCAAAAAGAAACAGTTAACTGCGCTCTCAGTCTCATGCCTAGATCATTACAGGAAACATCAATCTGATCCTGATACACATTGAAAACACCGTCACTACCACGCGAAATGCCATATCCAAATTCTCAAAAACATTTGAAATCTCTACTCACACAAACCTACACTTGCACTGATCGCAGTCACCAACGGCTGCTTACCCACCCTACACTCATACCCATATGAATACAATAAAAAATCCTCTTGGCTGAGAACACGACAGAAAATACGCCTGACTGAGTACTGTTTAGGAACTTGAAATTCTATTGTTCCTTTTTTCCACCAATCAGAAACTGGACAAACTGCCGAATCTATGTTCTATAGGCTTGTCCTTTTACGATTGAGTAAACGCTTTCTTCGAGGATAGTTAGCTTCTCGTCGCAGAACTTTACGCGAGTACACATGACTGCACAAGTGCAAGCCAAGACACACATAAACTTATTTTCTTCATATGACACTCCCTTCAGTCGAGAGAATAAGAAAAAAAAATTCAGTATCAATCCTTTTAATCTCAGTATTTCGTTATAGTCACTCATTACCTGGTTTTCTTTTAAATCGCTGACAATCTCATGGCGAGTTTTCAATTTACAACTTGCCTACATATCTCTGTCTTATCGACGACAATTTTTCTTTCTCTACACAAAATTACATACTATAATATCAGAAGAAAGATAAGCCTTGCGCATGGTCAATACTATTCGTTTTCTAACATAAAACAAAAGTTGCAACTGCGCGAAATCTTAAGAGTGCAAATAAATTAATACTACCCATACACAAAGGTAATCTTTCAGTTCTTTGAAACATATATTGCAATAAACTCTCAAAAGAACAGATTATATTATTTACCATGGGTTGTGGATCATTGAAAGCCACAAAAGTTGTTCCTAATTCTATAACATCTCAGAATGAGACGAATAGCCAAAAGAAGCAAATATCCAGTTCTTCATCACAACAGACTCCAACCAATAGAATAACAAGCACAACCTCCACAACCAACTCGGCAGTGGTAAAGCTATCTACTGAAGGTAAAAAATCTCCCAATCCATCCATTCATACACAATATGATCTCAATCAAAATTTGATTATTATTTGGGTGGACCCTCATATAGATAAAACCGAAAAACTTTATCAAGATTCAATTACCAAACTTCAACGTATTACCACGTTGATTGATAAATTTACTAACTCTAATGACTGTATTAAATATCTTGATACGATTAACAATAAAACAGTTTTTCTCATTATTTCGGATAAAATTGGTGAACAACTCATACCATTAGTTTTCAATAAACCACAACTTGAATGTATTTATATTTTCAATCCAGAAAAACAAGTTCGAATAAATTGGGCTAATAAATGGGCAGGAAAAGTTAAAGGAATTTATCATCATATGGAACAAATATTTCAAGCTATTAAATTTGATAGTGGTCAAATAGGTAGTTTAACTTCGATTAGTATTTTAACAAAGAAAGATATTGAGAAAAAAAATTTTGAGTCCAATGAACTGGACAAATCATTTATGTATACACAATTACTTAAAGAAAATCTGCTCGATATGAAATATGATTATCAAGCGAAAACTACACTTGTTGAATACTGTCGTAATAAATATGCTGATGATGATTATCAATTGAGTCTTATCGATGAATTTCATATTGAATATAATAAACAATTAGCTATTGAATGGTATACAAAAGAATCTTTTTTATATTCAATGATGAATCGTGCATTAAGATCTCAAGATATTGAAACGATTATGAAAATGGGATTTTTTATTGCGGATCTTCATAAACAAATTGAAAAAATATATAATGAACAAAAGTATCAACATGAAAAAATAACTGTCTATCGTGGTCAAGGTATGTTATTAGATGAATTTGAGAAATTAAAAAATAGCATTGGTGGTCTTATTTCATTTAACAATTTTCTATCAACAAGTAGCGATTTAAGTGTTTCAACACAATTTGCCATTCGTGCAGCAGAAAATCCAAAAGTTAATGGCGTCCTCTTCCAAATGATCGTCGATCCAAAAAAGTCATCAGTTCCATTGGCTTACTTAGGAGAAAATAGTTCTTATAAATATGAAAATGAAATTCTTTTTTCTATGCATACAGTTTTTCGTATTATTGATATTCAACATATTCAAGACCAATATTGGCTTGTTAATCTAAATTTAACAAGTGATCATGATCAAACACTTAAAACGTTAACTGATCATTTTAGAAAAGAAATTGAAGGTGGTACTCCTTTAGATCGAATAGGACATTTGATGCTGAAAATGGGCGAATTCAATCAAGCTGAGGAAATTTATGATGCACAACTCAAGTCTGAAAGTGAAAAAACTTGGCGCAAACAAGTTCATCTTAATCATCAACTTGGATATGTTTATAGTGAAAAGGGTGATTATGTGGCTGCATTATCATATTATCAAAAGGCACTTGAAATCGAACGAGCGAATGTCTCTGACCAAGACACGTCACTGGCTTCTACCTGCAATAATATGGCTAGTGTGTATCATAAAATGGGAAATCATTCGTCGGCTCTATCTTATTATAAAAAAGCACTTGAAATTGAACAAAAGTCTCATTCTCCTGATCATCCTTCAATCGCTACTACGTACAATAATTTGGGATCAGTTCATAGTTCATTAGGTGATTACGCAGCTGCACTTAATTTCTACAAGAAGACACTTACAATAAGGCAAACAACTCTTCCTGACAATCATCCAGATTTCGGTAGTATCTATAATAATATTGGATCATCTTATAGTGCATTAGGTGATAAAAAAACTGCACTTTCATTCTATCAAAAATCTCTTGAAATTCAAGAAAAAATTCTTCCTTCTACACATGTAGATCTAGCGATAAGCTATGCTAACATGGGTACAATATATAATTCACTGGGAAATCATTTGGAAGCACTTGAATATCATAAAAAATCTCTTGGCATTCGAGAAATATCACTACCATCAAATCATCCTGATATAGCTATGTGTTATAGCAACATTGGTTCAGTACATGATTCACTAGGAGATTATGTAACTGCATTATCATTTTTTGAAAAATCACTTCATATTCGACGACTATCTCTTCCTGAAGATCATATTAGTTTTGCTCATGTTTATGACGATTTTGGTTCGGTCTATTATTCGATGGATGATAAATCAAAAGCACAAACTTATTATCAGAAAGCTTATGATATTCGTCGAAACTCTCTTAATGAAAATCATCCTGATATGGCTCTTAGTTATAATAATCTTGGTACAATTTATAGTTCAATGGGAGATAAATCAAAAGCACTTACTCATTATGAAAAAGCACTTGAAATTCAACAAAAATCACTTCCAGAGAATCATCCAAGTTTAGTTAATACTTACAACAATATTGGTTTAATTTATCATTCAATGGAAGATGATACTAAAGCACTTTCATATTGTCAAAAAGCTCTTGATCTTCAACTTAAATCATCTTCAGAAAATAATTCATCCTTAGCTACAACTTATAGCAATATTGGTTTAATTTATAATTCAATGAAAAATTATTCAACTGCATTATCATCATATGAAAAAACACTTTCTATTCAACAAAGTTCTAAATCAACAAAAGAACAATCAATAGCAAAAACATTGTATAATATTGGACTTACATATTATCGAATGAAAAATTATTCAAAAGCTATTTCATTATTTGAACAAGCATTAACTATTCAGAAGAAATTATCACCATCGAATCATCATGATTTAGCAAATACTTATGAAATCATTGGCGTAACATATTATGATATGAAAAATTATCAAAATGCAATTTCATTTTATAAAAAAGCTTGTACAATTCAAGAAAAATATTTTTCTAATGAAAAATCAACATTAGCAATTATGTATAATAACATAGCTGTTGCATACAGTGCTATCAATGATCATTCGAATGCATTATCATTTTATGAAAAAACACTTTCTATTCGTGAAAAAAATTCTAATGAAAATGAGCTATCTTTGACTAATATATATAATAATATGGGATCAATTTATTATTCAATGAAAAATTATTCGAAAGCTATCAATTATTATCAAAAAGCAATGATTATTCAACAAAAAAAATTATCAAAAGATGATTATTTGTTATCAAAAACATATAATAATATTGCTATCGCATATAAGTCTATGGACGATAATGAAAATGCTCTTAAATATTATAAAGAAGCACTTATCATTCAAGAAAAGTCTCAGTCCGACGATAATATTTCCTCATTATCTGGAATCTATAATAGTATGGCATTTATTTATGATTCAAAACAAAACTATACCGAGGCTATCAATTATTATAAAAAAGCAATACTCATTGACGAGAAGATACTTTCTTCAGATGATTCATCTTTAGGAATAACATATTTTAATATTGCTGTTGCTTATGATTCTATGAAAGATAAACAAAATGCTCTAATATTCTATCAAAAAGCACTTGTTATACTAGAAAAAACTCTTTCTACCAATGGTCCAGCAATAGCTTCAACTTGTAGAAGTATTGCATCAATATATCATTCAATGAATAATTATTCCGATGCTGTTAGTTTTTATAAAAAAGCATTAACAATATTGGAACAAACGACTTCCTCGGATGATGCTATATTAGGAACTACTTATAACAACATAGCTGTCGCTTATGATTCCATGGACGATAAAAAGAATGCTCTTTTATTTTATGAAAAATCTTTATCGATTCGAGAAAAAATCCGTTCTCCCAATGATTCTTCATTAGCTTCAATGTATAGTAGCATGGCTTCGATTTATTCATCTATGAATATGAAAACAAATGCTGTTAAATTTTATGAAAAATCACTTGCCATTCAAGAAGCATCATCATCTCCAAATTATTCATCTTTGTATGTAATTCATTACAATACAGCAAGAAACTATGAAGATCTTGGCAATTATGATGCAGCTATTCAACATGCTGAACGTTCCCTTGTTCATGCTCGTTCAGCTTTCGGTTCGGATGATGAAAAAGTACAAACTGTTCAAAATTATGTTGGCATGCTTCGCAGAAAAATATAATTAATTAACATTTGTTTTTCATTCATATATAATTAATAATCATAACCTGACGAAGCTCCAGGCGGAGGGCTCAATTAAGATTAATCTTTAATGTGTCTCTGGTATAAAGTTTCATAATTCAAATATTCCTGTAGGGAAAATATCTATCGGATAATATTTTTAAATCTCTAGAAGAAATGTAATTGTCTTACCAAGATTACACACAAAAAATTGAAAACCTCTTCCTACTTGAAACATCTATTCACGAAAATAGCATTCTACTAACCTATCTACAGTAGGTGTCAGAGACAACTACTACTGAGCTCTAAGTGAAATCTCACTTCTTTAAATAGCTGCTAAAATATCTTTGCGTATCTAACAAGACGCATTGAGTGCACATCCTTGGTTATTACATTCGTCAGATTGGTTTTTATGACTCTATATGGCTCAACAACAAAAAGTATGACAGCACGATTAGAAGATGTGTATAATAAATGCACCAGTTTTATTTTTTTTCAAAATTTAAAGTAGTTCATAGTAGTTATATATGGAATTGTGTTCGTATTAGCATAACAGAATTTCATTCGATCTAATCTCAATGATACATCTTTTGTAAGATTATACATGTTGCAAACAGTGCTGTACAGTAATTAATGTCGTGTATGTGGTTTAAAATATGAAAGCGATTCCTGTGTTGTACGTTAATATCTGTTAAAAATACTACTGAAATATTTTGGGGCGGTGCACTGATATGAATACGAGATGTGTATGTCTAGAGAAACATGATACACACAGCATAATCGACATCTCTACCCTCATGCTCAAACCTACACTCATCCTTGCTTCGCTAACCAAAAGGTTTCATTTTTAAACTACAGTATGTGGTACATTAGTGGATGAATGGATTAGATCAGCATTCTCATTTTCTAACTGAAAATTTTTGATTAATAAACTCTGAAAATTCTCAAGTTTCAAGTCAAAGAAAATCCACAGCTCAACTTTAGCCAGTAATATAGAAAAAATTTCGTGTTTCGTAACGAGTATTCATACTTTTTTCGCTCTACGATAAAGAACAGCACGTGATGCTTGTACTATTGGAATCGCTGGTGATGATTTGTAATTTCCTGTTGCAATTTTAGTTCTATGTGACCGCAGATTTTCATCCGTTGGCCCATCAGCTTCCGCACACTGCTTGTGGGTGTGAGTGTAATATGGGCGTACGTATGTGTTTGGGCCTGGATGGCAATCATCCTTTTACAAACACACACCCACGCTCTTTTTCGGATTGTTCATCGTGGTAAAATTTCAGAAAAATGTATTTTCACGTTTCTATTTATATCTCATTGCGATGATTGAACAATATTAGTTTTATGTCGAATCGTGTTGGAAGTAGGGCGACTTTTTTTCTTTGTTACGTAAACCAACTTTGAATGTTTCAATGATTCGAACAGATCGAACTTTGCTATCAATTTTTTATCATTAAAATTAAGCACAACTATCAAAGTTTTTCTTTATCGACAATATTCATCAATGATTTTGTAATGTTAAGATCCCAAGTTTTACTTCGCAACATGATATTGTTATTTATTTTTTAAAAGAAAAGAATATGATCGATCGTATTTGAACTTTGATCCGTGTCGCTTGAAGTACGAACCAAATAATAATAAAAATTCTGTTTATTACAAAATGAAGTATTTTACCGAGAAAGCTTTAATATTCTCGAATGAGAGATTAAGGAAAAAAAGGAAACTTCAAGCAAGAATAAGTCGAGTTTTAACGTTCGTTGAGTGCTTTTTTCAAAAAGCGTTCGCTATGTACAATCGACAAAACGAATTAGTCTACAACCTAATCCTATCGTTTGAAAACTGAAAGACGCGTGATCTATCCAGATACAAGTATAAAATGTGGTTTTCAAATCACACCGATTTCTAAAAATTGCTTATCTAGAGATTTTTGTCTATTTATTCTCTTAACTTTTATTGTTTTTCTCTCATAATGAAGTTATAAAGTCCAAAGATCTTCAATTCTTACTATTTACTATCATACATACTTAGATATATGACAGAATAAAATAAGATTTATTCTTTTCTTCTGTTTTTGACTACAACTCTAAAAAGAAAATGTTTTTTTATTATGAAGAAGTGATCTTTTTCTCAGTATGAAAATGAAAATACAATCGCATCATTAGGAGCAAAAAAAAGAAAGAATTTTATTCTTTTTGTTTACATTCAGTTCAAATACTACAAGTAGATATATTTACTTCAGAAAATAAATTATGAATGTTAATATGTTGTTTGTCAACACAGATCATTAATAGAGGGTGAGGGTGAGTATGGGAGTTAGTGTTGCTTTACTGTGAACCCATTTTCGTCCCACATCCTACTTGTAGAATTGGAAGAGTTGATCCAAATGAAAGTACAATCGTTTAATTGAATGTTAGTGGGAATAGGAAGATAGAACTTGTGCCTACAATATCAAGCACAGTCTAAAGTCGACATCAATACTATTTCGATTAATTACGACTGAATTGCTTCAAATAAAATCATATCATTTTCGCATCTGCTTGAAAGACAAGACTACAGCGATTTAGTGAAAAAGATATTCTAGGACGATGAAGTACGCCGCTCAAAATTTGGTTGTGACACTCGTTTCACGTGAAAGTTTCAGCAAGCATTCCCTATGGTTGTACTAGAGCCACAAAACTATAAATGAAACTGGACAATGGCATGAGTGATGAAGTCCGATTCTAGCTGATGGACTAATGGCACACCGGCTTTGAGACTATTATCTCTCAAGTTACTCCCAGCATCAACGACAAAATTAGGGATACTCATTCTCGATTACATATATCGTTCATTTACATAGCAATCATAAATTCAAAGGACGTTTTGAATACATGCAGCGCCCACTATCTTCGCTATCACACACAGTCAGTAGTAGTGGTTGATTGAAGCCATCCAATACACATACATCATCAAAGAAACATATAGATGAGAACAGAAAAAAGAATAACTCATTTTCTTCAACCTTGTTTACTAATCTGTCGTGAAACCAACAGAAGCAGAATCAACGAACGAGGCAAGCAAAAAAAACTCTTCTGCTACTTCTTAATTAAATGCACGAACGCCATTTTGCACATCTCATTCTCTACTGAATTGGGTTGACCATGGTAATAGTAATATCTATCAAATGTGTTATAGAATTATCAGTTATTAAGATAAAATAAGATTTGATGCAGTTTAGACAATTTATAATTATAGATTTTCTAATGTTAGACATAATTTACGAGAATTTAATGAATATCATATTCTTCCGAGTTAGCATAATTATTCGAGCAAACCATAAAATGTTCTTTTTGTGAATGACATTGTTTACGATTCCCAACGATGGCAACTATGTCATGTTGACACCATATGGCATATCTAGAGAAATTTCTTGATAAAACATGGTTGTAGACGATATATTAACTAGCATAAAGCATGCCAGTGCTTGTTCTGCTTTTTACTGACTCTTGAGGCAGTCAAAAAAGCATAAACACATAAACACAAAAGAAAAAAAAAGAAGTCGTTTATTTCTTGTAACCTGGAAGCATAATTTCAAAAGAAAAATATGATCGTTTTGTTTTTTGACTGCTTCTGTAAGTGAATCACACCACAGAACAGAAGAAAAGCGCGTATCGGCTCTTGTGAATATCAATAAGCATTTGCACTTTGATTTTTTTTATGAAATTTTTTTTTTCTTGTTTTTTTCTTTCTTTTTTTCTGTCTCGTGTTACCATACAGTCGTGATGAAGCAACAGTGATGTACATGGTAAATATGACAAACAGAAGAACAACTGAATGTTTATTCAATCTAGTAGTTCTTTCCTTAAATTCTTTCAATGACCATTTTCATGCATAGATATAGAATAAATAATTCATGTAGGCTTTTCTTCATAAGAAAATAGATCCGAAGCCGTCAGTGAAGCATTGCCAACTCACCGACATTTGTATCGAAACAAAATATAAAGCGTCATTCAATCGTGCCCTTTAGCAGAAAACATCGATCATAGTCGTTTTTTCTTTTCTCTGCTAGAGCTAATCCTGTGAAAGAATACGAATCGTATATTTACTCCTCATTTGAAGATGAAAAGTCGATAGGATATTAAGCATTAAACGACTAAATTCATCTTATGTCTTTCATTGAATTTGATAGACAACGATCGACAGAATTCAAAACTAAATGTATCGAACAGTAAAGTTCAAGAGTATTTCAATCGTTTAACTATGATTGTCTGACATTCGAATTTGTTTCTATTTGATTCTACATTATTCGGATGAATAATTGATAAGAGCAAACGAATTCAATATCTCACAAGTCTCTTGCATTGGATTATTTTTGTCAATAAGAACATCTAATAGTCAGATTATTCATAGTCTTCTATCACATGTTTTTTTTAAACTTTTTTGAGATTAAATGATGATTTCATTAGATCGCCAATGGATTTCATAAGCCACGTATCTTTGTAATCAATTGGTTAATATGTATGCCCAAATGATTTGTTGTTTACTTTCGTTCTTTCTTTCAATTCTGTCGAAGGAGAAAAATATAGTCCACCTGTGCATCGGAGTAGTATTGATTTCGTTGCGTATACGATCAAGAAAAAAAAAGTAAGGTGTCGATTCACTTCATTCATACAACAAAAAAAAACATATTGATGTTTTTGTTCTCCTTGAAAGTATCTTTAAGCATGACAAAACAAAGTTCGTAATTTTCTGTAAGTTTTACTTTCAAAATCTAATAGATTCTTTAATCATGATCGACGTCATCTTTTTTTGATATTTATTGAATAAAATTTCTACATGTATTTTTTATTCTCGAGATACATATGGTACAATTGATGTAAATGACTTAGCTTACGTTTCTAATTGCATCAATAAGAGTTGATGGAGTAGATCAAAAGTCTTTCTGCGGTACTCGAAACAAATTGAAGTGTTTGCTGTTTTTTTTTGGGGGTCTATTATTGATGAAAACAAGATTAAGTAATTATTTGAATTCGTACTATGCTAATGAGGAAAGCCGTTCTAGTGTTAAAGTGCTTTTGAGTCAGAACTATTTGTACCATATTGATTCGAATAAACTATGAATATCGTGAATAGGATTCGAGCTAATACCTAATTACTACCGGGATATTGTATTTTTTAACGAAATTCCTCAGTCTTCATTTCCCTGCAACAATCAGGAAACTGAGTTTTGATTTTGTATTTGAAAGTTTATACAGAGAAAACGCAAATTTCCTGTTATCCTAAGATGCTTAAGAATATGCATAGTTTGTGATAACTTACACGATGAACATAGTTCCAACACAAGAACTATTTGATATTTAGCAACGTCTCTTCGTAAGCTAAGATATAGAATAGTATCTTTTATAAATAGATTGTTTACAATATTTAATCTTCTATGATTTAGATCTATTCTTAGAAATACTGCGAAAAAATTTTACTGACTTATTTGATTAACTGATCATCATTTAGTGAGACATGGGTCAACAACTATCTTCGAGTAATTTGAAAATCTCTGATTTACTTGCTTCAAACAATCAACATTCAGATAGTATTTTATCTAATGGTCGAACAGAAGATGTTCATTTATTTTTGCCATTGGATGTCATCAATTCAATCAGTAAAAATGTGATCTTATCTCATGATCATAATCAAAAAAGTTCAATTGAACTACCAATTACAAAACAAACATTAACTAAACAAATTCGAACTGATTTATCCTTACTAACGAATTCATCTGGATTAGATGCATTCAATACAGAAATTGCCGGAATAATTCAACAAGTATTCGATCGTATTGCAACAACAAATACAACTTTACAAAATGCAATACAATCAATCATTGACAAACAACAACAATTGAAAAATTCCTATGCTGAACAATTGAAAGATAATGAAAATGCCAATACTTCTATATTTGCTCAGTCATTTGTTAGTTCTTCTAATTCAGAGAATATATCAAATGAAAATCAAAAAGAAAACAATTCAATTAAACAAACGCAATTACATCAATTTCAAGCTGAACAACTCTCATTTTTTGCTATTCAATCGTTAATATCTATGCTGTTAATGTTACTTCAAACAGTAAAAAAATATGATTCCACTATTGTTCATCAAATGCTCATTTTAACAAATCAACTTGTCGAACAAATTCCATTAAAGTATCTTTCATTAGATGTTTACAAAAGATCAAGTAATTTATTCAAATCTTTGAAACCATTGGTCAATTATATCAATGAATTTTCGATTCAAACTGAAATTAATCCTGTTGCAGCAAATCAATCGATTACAATCTTATTGAATTTTTCAATTATCAAAGGATCATTAAAAGATGCTTTACCATTAATAAGAAAATTAATTTTTAATACAACTGATATTTATAACATAAGAAAATTATTTATAGAATTGAATAAAGATCTAACAACAATGATGGGTCAATTCCAAAAAGAAAATCAGATATCAACTAACGCAACAACAACAACAACAACAACAACTACATCACAGAATGCTGCAAATAGTGACGAGACATTCAAAGGGCAGGATAAAACAGGTGAGAGAAATTCATATAGAACTATCGAAGTTTAAGCTATTTGAAAAAAATCATCAGACCTTTTCTGTTTTCAGTGAGGAAAGATACTAATTTTTATTAATGTCCTATCTCTACATTTTGAAATTAATCACTGTTGAAACTAAGAATCTCTTGTGCTCAATCTGACTAAATATATATACTAGCTACGAGAACATGAGTACGTGCCAATCATGGTATCAAGATTCAAATAAATATTTTCAAAACAACACTTCGATCATTGTTCTATTTAGTTACTATAAATTCGATTTCTTGTAGATACAACTGTATCCACTGAGAAAATATCTGATATCGAACGTAATTGCTTGGCCTCGTTAGAATATCTTAAAACAATTGAAGCATTTCCAAATACACAATTAATAGTATTAAACGAGAAGAAATTTACTGGTCAATTCATATCTTCAATATTACTTGTTCATATCGATTTACATAATCAATTTCATACAAAATCACAATTTGAACGTTGTTCTATGAATAGTTCGTTTTCATTCGAATTTGAATCAGAAACATTCAAATGTTTATATGAAATAATCGAACAATTAATGATAATGGAATCATCATCGAACAATAATCTCGAATATATCTTGACTGTTTGTCTTCGATTATTTACGACACATTTAAAATTTTTAATTACTTCAAATATTGATAATTTTCATGATTTTATAAATGAAAATGATCTTGAAAAATGGTTCACATTGATATCAAAATTTGCTTTCAATGATAAATCAGACGAAAGAAAAAAAGTAGCATCGGAAGCTTTGATCTATTTGATTGAAAAGAAACTCTCATCATTTTCCAAAATATTGACATTCTTTCATACATATATCATGGAAAATAAACATCCAATATTAATTGAAAAATTATTTGATAAATTAGCTCAAAATATATTCATATATAAATGGATCGAAGCTCTATGTGATGATCGTAATATTCAAGATAGAGAATTGGCATATATAGTCTTACATTCATTTATTGATATTGTTTTAAAATCAAGTTCGATGGATGTTAAAAAAGTTAGTCAAATACAGGAGATCATACTTATGTTTCAAGAATTACTATTAGTTCATTTGAATAATCAACCGATTGATATATCCGATGAACTTGAATTATCTGGTCTATCGACACTTGGTATGGAATATACAACACATGTTATCAAATATTGTATCCAACAACGAGTTAAAAGTGTTTTATTAGAGTCACTTCTTCTTGGTCTATGTACTCTTACCGAATCGAAATTTAACTTTGCATATATACAACCAATCTTTGCGAGTATTCTACCTATATTTGCTGAATACTTAACACAAATAACAATCGATGTAGATGATAAAAATATCTATCTAATTTCATGGTTATTCGGAAAAATGATTCATCGATTAATTGTCGGTCCACAAGAAAGTCCATTAGAGAAAAAATATCATACTACATTGAAATTACCATTATTTGCTGGTGGATATGAAACATTGACAACAGTCAATAATTCATACTTATCAAATTTATTCAAATCTGATTTAATTACTTACAGTCAATTTGTAGTACCTTGTCGACGACAACAATCAGTATTAGATAGTGAATTTTTACTCTCCGTTTATAATAATATCAATCAAGGTGCACAATTGATTTCAAAAATGAAATTATTCACTCGAGGTAAACAACGTATCTTACAAAAATCAATTGAATCAAATGCTAATGATGCATGTGCTGCAGTATTTGCAGTCTATATCAAACATTATCGTCGTATTGATTTAGCTCAACATGAATTAACACAACCGATCGATCAAAAACCACATGCTAAACTTCTTTCACTTTATGAATATGCTAATCAAGTACGAACAATTTTTGCAACGACAAAAGCTCAAGATGGTGATTGTAATGAACTTTATAAAAAAATTAAGAACGATACATTATTATTACTTGATTCAGTCAAAGAAAGTTCATTCATATCAACAATTAAAGATGATTTTTCATTACCAATAATGGCCATTGATCACTCTAAATTACAACGACAAAAATCACATTGGACAAAAGCAAAATATGTTATTCGATTACTTCGTAATACATTAAATGCTTGTATACGATTGAAATATTTGATGTTAGCAAAAAAACAAGCTGTTGAACAAAAGAAGGATAGTGAAAGTGTTATGCATCGAGCTATTACTAGTTGTCTATATAGTAATGATATATCGACATCTAAAGTTGATGGTCAATTAAAAATTCAGTCTGATGAAGTTGTCAAATGTTTAATTCGACAATATCAACGAGCCATGACTAGATGGATTACATATGTATTTGTTTATCGATTTATCGAACAAATCATTACTATTAAAGATAATAATCGAAATTTAAATATTCTAGTTATAAATTTAATGAATTTGAAAGGTAATAATTTCGATTGGCATTATCTTGAAAATATTCAAGCATCAAATAATCAATTAAAAGAAGATATTGGACATCGATACTATTTAATTATCAAAAAAATATTAACATTTTCAAATGAATCTAAATTTGAATCGAATATGAAAGAAGTGTTTATGTTTTGTGTATTTAATCTATTGAATCTATCGTATGATTCGATGGACTTATGTCATATCAATCATTTTCAATTCATTCAAGAATTATTTAATTCTTTTGTTAGATTTGCTGAAATAGATTCAACTACTACCATTTCAAAAGATATGAAACTTACGGCATTCAATTGGTTTCGTCTATTTGCTTTGAAATTATGTGAAAATATTGAAATAGAAGAATTACGAAATACACATTTCGGTAATCGAAAATTTCATCATATTTTAGAACAACAACGTGATATGATCTTTAATAAGTTAATTTTAACTGAACTCAAAGAATTGCAACAAAATAAATCAACATCGGAAAAAGAAAATGGAAATCCATCATTGAAAAATACTTCCATTGGTTATTTTATTGCATCATCAACGTTTGATATCGATGCATGTATCAATCAATATTTAATGCTTCTACTTCGATGTGTTCATTTGTATGATCATATTCGATCAAATTGTGCTACATTGGAATGCATTCAACAATTATTGAATTTATATCATCAAAGTCAACTTCTTAATACTCGTCTATTAATATTAAAAATTCTACGTGATCTATTAATATTCTTACCAGACAATACCAAGGAAACAACATGTCGTTGTTTTGTTGAGAACTTATTAAAAGATATTTTATTCTCTATTGGTCAAAATTTTAATATATTGGAAATAAATAAAATAGATTTTGATATTGTCATTGAGTTTATTTATATCTATCGTACAATATTGTCACAAAATTCACCATGGCAAAAAATGGCAACTAAATTAATTATCGATGCAATTCAATCAAGTACAAAGTTTAATTTGACATCATTAGAATCTGTTGAAATACGACAAATGAATTTCTTTCTTGCATCATTATGTATCTTAGGTGGTTATGTTGAACCATATTGTTTAGGATCAACAGTAGAAATCTATACTGTTGATAAAAACATTCATGAATCAGATTCGGCAACTATCATTGAAATTGATACAAATGCTCTTGAGTCAGATTCATCTGATGTTACACCTTATCTCGTACAATATGCTGCAACAAATCATACTCAATCGGTTTCATCGAATCAATTACACATCATTACCGATGTTCTACCACCGAATCTTTCACTTTTACCAATTGATAATGCAGTTCATATTATTCTTGATACATTAGGTTTTCTTGCACAAATTGATACATCGAAAACTAATGCATTAATATTATTACAAATTAAACGTCGTGCTATACTAGCATTCTATTCATTATTAAATCATAAACTAATTGTTGATATTTTCATGCAAAAACCTTATGCATCTCTTATTGCTAAATTATCAATATCGCTTGATAATCTTGATTTAATTCATAGTACAAAACCAAATGATTTAAGATTTTTTGATCGATTACATCTAGAACAATATAGTTTAAGTTTAGATAAATGTGAAAGAACAAAAAAAATTGTGGAAGATGAACCTGAAATTGTTCGTAATATAAACGCATGGAATCACATAAAAATCAATCGTGATCCTGTTATTTTACAAAATCTATCAGCAAGTAGTTCGATAGATGACGGATGGAAACCGATCGTATTTAAAAATGAAATCCAGACTTATAAACGGGGCAAAATTGGAAATGATGAAATTCATATTGTTTCTCGACCTGCTAATGATACTCTACCGCCATTAGAAGAATGTGGTCACAAGCATAAATTTAAAGGAAGAGTTAATATAACCGATGATAATGGAAATATTCGATATCCGACATTTATTGTTGATGGTATAGAATTGAACGAAGGTAAATGGTATTATTGTGTTAAATTTCTATTAGGTGGTCAAGCACAAATAGGCTGGGCCACCAATGGATTTAATCCTGTACCAGATAATTTACAAGGTATTGGTGATGATCAATATTCATGGAGCTATGATGGATCACAAGGAGTTTGTCATCATAATCAACAAAGTAGTTTTCATGATGAAATTCGTTGGAATGCAGATGATGTATGTGGTTGTGGTATTGAAATCGATGGCGAAAATACTACTATCAAATATTGGTTAAATGGTCAATTGTTAGGTACAGCTTTTTCACATTCAGACAATACTACTATTCAATCAATCGTTAAAACAAATTTATTGCCCCATGGACTTAGTACTACCTATTTTCCCGGTGTTACTGTGCAAGTCTATAATAATGTGGCGAATACAGGTGCTTTTGAATTTATATTTAGTCCAGAAGATATGACTCAATGTCCTTTACCGAAAGGTTACAAACCATTAATAATACCAACATTAATGACAATGGAAAATGTCTTAGTTGCTTATCCGTATAGTGCCTATCTTATTGGTAATGATATTCATCAATATTTCTATTCGAATCGATATCTGAAGAATGACAAGAAAACTTCTTTGATACGTGATTTTGTTAATGATCATCATTGCGAAGTTCCATTCGATATCGATATGATAACAGCTGATCATCATTTATTGAAATTATCGGAAGATAGTGATGGTTTTCCATTATCAATTGATAATCATCAATCATTGACTATTAGTTTTGATTTTGAAATTATTCCAATAGATGAAATAGAAAACCATCCTGATGAACTTGATCTGATATTATTCACCGTAGAAAACGACATGTTTCCTATTCGAGTATGTATAAATGATATGAATGATGATTTTATTGATGAAACAATCAAATATCGACAACGTGTTGTTATCCTATTTCAAACAAATGAACAAACAAAAGTTTATATCAATAATAAATATCAAATATTGAATTATTGTCATAGTTTTGATACGACAACAAAATCAAAATTCAACCTTAAAATTTTGCCATATCAAAATGTCGGAATTCGAAATTTGGGCATCTGGAAATATACACTATCAGAAGAACATATACGACGTCTCTTTACATATGGTCTCTTGTATGTTGCTGTCGATTATCAAAAATTGAATAAATATCGACAACAAACAAATACATTTGTATTTACAGCAGAACAAAAATATTTTACAAATGAAACATTAATTCCATTCAATGAACCATTTGAAGATAGCTTATGGGAAAAAAGAAAACAATGCGTTGATCATGACGAATCGATCTATTTTAAGACAATATCAGGGACTAATGAGTCGATCGTACAATTATTCGGCAATAAAACTTATCTAGTTTTAGACACTGCAAATCAAGTATGGTCTGAATATACATTGATTCTTGATATTTCAATACCTAATTGTCCATCAACTGTATCAAATAATGAGACTCAATTAACATTATTAACATTGGATACACAAGCAGAAATTTATGTAACACACGACGGTCATATTTGTCTATCCGGTGGACATCAAAGCTCATCAATAGTCAAATTAAATGACTACATGCGCATGTTCATTTCTGTTCAACACAAATCTGTTCATATCTATGTCAATGGTTCATTAGAACTTAATGCATCAATTACCGATGATCAATTTGCAACGAAATTGAAACATATTGATCTGTTTCGAGAGATAGATTTGACTAAGAATACTATTGGTGATGATCAATTAAGAATTGAATGTCGATCGATTACATTTTGGAATAAATCAACCGATATTGTCCGTCCATCATTGGCAAAATTGATCCAATCAACTGAACATTCCTTAAATCAACTAGTTGCTCCACCGTTATGCATTCTATCGACCAGTCTTATCGGTATTGGTTACACAGAAGAATCAATCAAATACGTAATGAAACAATACAACACAACAAATATTCATTTTATCGATACTATTCTACGAGAACAAAGTCAACATATAGAAAAGATACATCGTGATGAACAACGACAGAAACAAATCAATGTATTAACACGATTGAAGTCTTATGACGAAAATGGAACATTAACAATTTTAATGAAATTCGACAATGATACAAGCGATTTGTCAATGTCGGCATCATCTAATAACATATCATCTGATAGTGATAATGAGATGATATCGGAAAATGAATGGTATCGCAAAACTGTTCGTGATGTAGGTATTAATGAAAAATTAACTGAATGGATACGAGATAAAATAGAAATAACTCAATTAACAATGGATGATCCTCGGTATCAATTTGTTGATTTATCTAAAGCAGATACCGAAGAAACATCAATTGATAATGAACTCAAAAAGAAAATGAAAAAATCCTTACATTATTCACATCGACAAATATCACGAAAAACTTATATTCATTCAAGTACAAGCTGTGAATATGGTCTAATAACGATTTATACACGTTATACAATATTGAATATGTTAAAAGTCTGGTTCAATGATGATCATCAAAGTTTATTTCCAATTGATAAATTCGGTGATAAAAATTTTATTATAACATTATTACGATTGATGAATTACCATCATACATGTACACGTACACATGTAGATGAAACTATCAATAGAATGAAATTGTTGACTATGTCGATATTAAAATTTGAATTAAAAGAAATAATGAAATCTATGATAGATGAACAAATTACTGAAAATATATTGAATAGAAAAGCTCCGTTATTCTATCAATTACAAAAATATGTTGTTGAAGAATTGATTCATTTTCTTGCTGAACCATCTTTAATCATTATGAATAATTATAATGATGAAAGTATTGATGAACGAATAATAATTAAACAAACAAATTTAGATTTTCTTTTATATATTGTGAGTCTCTTTTTGGAATTATTGACCGACTTGGAGTTGGCAAAATACAATATTGATCGGATGATTCGATTATTATTTCCAGCATTATTCATCAAGATACTGTTCGATCTATTTTTATTAGTACCATCACATCGATCCAAAATATTGATTCTCCATGTTTATACTACGTAAGTACATTCGAGTTGAATGGACAAATTTGAAATCGATAAAGTTTTTCTATTTATTGTATTGTAAAATTTCTATTCTATGATGTACGATCCAAAGTATTAGCAACAGCAGCTACATCGTTTATCAAATTCTAATATATCACAGAGATTTTTCTAATACCTATTATAATAAATTCTCTACTGATATCAACGAGTTGTTCAGTGAATATGATTTAAAAAAATCGACTATAAAATAAGGATTCGAATTAGATTTGAGTTCGAATTCTATTTATTTTTTGTAAAATAGATTGCTTCAAACAAGTGAAAATTTCAAACTTCATAACAATATTCAACATTTTATTCTACAACTATTTATTGAATTAACAACAAACAAAACATGCTTAGATAATTTAGCATTGAAAAATTTTCGAATTGCTACTATGGATCTAGCATTTGCTCTATTCGGAAGACAAAAAGAATTGATTTCAGCATTAAATGAACATTCAAAAGAAGCACGTGATGTATCGATAATCCTCGATGTTATTAATATTTTAACAAACAAAACAAAACATTGTCAATGGCCTGAATCACTTCTTACTCAATCGAGTACTATTTTAGATGCAAAACTTCCATTGACTAAAGAAATGGTTGATACAGCTCATGTTCATTTCGATAGGACTGCGGATGGACAACTAATGCAATTTATGAATCAAAATATTAATCTCGATTGGAAGCCATTACCACATGAGTCACTTAATCAATTTATCGAAACTCTACCAGCTGAGTCTGTTCCTAATTCAACTAAATATCAGTCATTTAGTTATTTACGTGATATATCATCGGTACATATACAAACACGTGCTAAACTTTTCTATTTATTCAATATATTGATTGGAAAAGTCTTACCAATAATCGATTTAAGTTTACCACCAGGTAGTAGTACTCTTACAGATCGAATTCGAGTAGCACGAAATTATATATTACATATAACAAAATTTGAATTGTTTAATGATACGTTAGCTAAAACTGCATCTAGTGCAGGTTTATCACAAGAAGAAGTAACATTTGATACTGTAAAAGCTAGTCTTGCTGAACATTCTGAAGATACAATGTTCTATCAAGCATATAAGCAAATGTATTTGAATGCATCTCGAACATTTCGACGAACGAATGACGAAAGAGTTTGGACAGCTGTTTTTATTGGTATGCACAGTACTGATGGAGGTGGACCCTTTAGAGATTCAATAACACGTATGTGTGCCGAACTATGTAGTACAAATTTACCACTATTTATACTTTGTCCTAATGGACGATCAAATAGTGGTTCAAATCGTGATCGATGGATTCCGAATGTTTTTCCACCAAATCGACCTATACCTGATGAATTCAAAAATCAATATCGTTTTGTTGGACAACTAATGGGTATGGCAATACGTACGAGAAACTTTTTAGATGTTCGATTTCCAATTGTACTCTGGAAACAATTAGTACAAGAAACAGTTACAATTGAAGATATTGAAGCAATTGACATTTCAAGTTTTTCTATTATCAATGAAATGGAAGAAAATATTAAACAAGTAAAAAGTCTCAATGAAAGTGAAGATGGTGATGCAAACATCGGTTATGATTTTTTATTTAGTCGTATCATGAGTGGCCTAACATTTGATGCGGTTAATTCAGCTGAACAACGTTATGAACTTATTCCGGGTGGTTTTCATATTCCTATTACGGCTGCTAATTTCGAGGATTATTGTATGCTCTATCGTCAATATCGTGTGAATGAATTTCATCGACAAATTGATTTTATTCGTCAAGGTTTATATAGTGTCGTACCATCGGCTTATTTAACACTGTTTACAGCTAGTGAATTAGAAGAAGCTGTTTGTGGAAAAGGTTATATTGATATTGAAATGTTGAAACGTCATACAAGTTACAATAGTGATAGTGAAACTGCGCCATATATTGTTCGATTTTGGTCTGTTTTAAGTGAAATGTTTAGTGAAGAACAGAAAAAACTATTTTTAATATTTGTTTGGGGACGAAGTACGCTACCGAATAGAGACGAAGATTTTCCAACGAATTTGCAAATATCTCGTCTGGAAACAACTGGCAATGTTGATGATGCTCTTCCAAGTGAGTCTATTGAAAATTTCATATCTATCAAGTAGGAGAGAGAGAGAGAGAGAGTTGTAGGCAAACTTTCGACAAAGGTGTTGATAAAATAATCTTCTAGAAAGATTACGAGTATCTCTAATATACTAACGATTTGGTCGGATTCATCGAGTGTTTTGATCTTTGTGCAAGATTGCTTGGCTAATCTAGTAATCATTTAAATAAAAAAATGAATTGAGTGACCTAAGAAGTCTTGTTTTTTTCGAATAAGTTTTACAATACATATATTTGTTTTCTTCTTGATTTCTTTGTGCCTATACAATACTAACTACATGGTTCATTTTGTGCTCTATTATTTTTAATGCACTAAGCTATTATGGAACTAACAACATATAAATAAATTACTAGTAGGGCTGTTCATTGATGTATATTACCCAGAGAACCTCCAATTAAAAATCAAATCGAATATTGTTAGACTATAAATTCATATCACAAATGAATATATGAGTTAAGTATGTCAGACAAATTTCTGTGGCAATTCTGTCGATTCTCTCGTGAGACTGATAGTTCATTGAGAAATTTTAGATACTTGATGAAGATTTTTGACATCGTACTTTAGCAATGAATTCAATTATTTGCTTTCTTTTCTAGAATCGCACACATGTTCATTCGGTCTTGATTTACCTCCATATTCAACTAAAGAAATCACGTATGAACGTTTAAATTATGCTATTACCTATTGTTCCAGTATCGACAATGATTGGAACATGAATTAGTCCTCTATCCGTATTCATTAACTGACCTTAGATTCAAATTATACCCTGTGCTTAACTAACTTATAAAACAATTTCATAACACAATTTGTTTTTTTTTGTTTTCTTTAATGCCTGATCGAAATCGATTCAATGTAGTTTATGATATACATCTTAGAATGAAGGCTTTCTTTTTTTTTTATCAACTTTTATGAAATCAATTAAGAGCATATGAATAAATACTATTATGCATTTGAATTTTCTGTTTGACATACAGATAGAATTGTGGCAGTCTGTTAACAAGATCTAAAACCAATAAACAAAAATATGAACGCTCAATCAGAGAATATTTACGTATTCAACAATGGATAAAATTCGATATCATCTATCAAACACATGAGTAAATGTCAGAAAAGATCTACTATGACATCAGAACATTAACAAACGAAATATAATTATGAATGGTAACTACATAACGAATCATCGCAGGTATTTCTCAGTTTTTATTGTCTGTAGACCGTGGTGTGCAGGAAATTTAATAGACAAATGATGCACAATAATCAAACAGTATATTTGTTCATCTCGGCGTCCGTTGCGAAAAATAACAAATAGAATTGACAAAGTAGAAATCTTGTTCATGCTGCAACAAGCACACTATAAATAGCATCTCGTTTGAAAGCTTTAGTGGCCTAAGCAAGGAAGCAACTTGCGAATAGGGAAACATTTTAAATAGGAACAATGGAAAAATTGCCAGAAGAAACTTGGCTCATAGCTTCGAATAAGAAATTTACTCATTAAACTCTAAAGAAGACCATCACTTGACAAAAAAATCAGCTCATGAATGAAACAAGAACAAAAACTCAACAATACAGCAAGTATATGGTTAGTCTTAATATTAGAAGTACAAACAACAAGTACTACATTCCGATAAGGAAAATACAGCTATTCAGAGGGACTGAGTGACGATTCATCAGATAGCCAAGTCTTCGTCATTGACGATAATTTTGATTTGAATATTATGATAACTACCATAGATGTGCTCTGGGAACAGATTGATCAGATGTATGGTTATACGTCAACGTATGTGTAGGTCGGACATTTATCAGATGGTACAAAAAAGTCACACGAGGTTCAATGTTGAAGATGGTGAGTGTCTGTATGAAAAGTGCAAATGCTGATGATAAATAAATGCAACATGAGGTGTAAATTTCTTTTGGTTGTATATAGTGACATGACGCTGTGGATGTGGGTATACGAGTCTTTTCTTCATCTACACTTGACACACACACCGACCTACTCGTACCCCAAGCTATAAGAATGATATGGTCTCAGGAAGGAAAAGAATGCTATGCACGCTGTTAACTTATCTAGGGACAAAAGCTGTCAATATTTAGTTGCTTTCTGTTTATCTCATCTTATTGACCGTTACGAAAGACAAGAAATATGAGAAAAAGAGCGTTAGTAAGTGTAAAAATGTACACGATAATGTATAATGTTGCATAGATGCTTCACTAATATGTTTCCAACAGATTATAAGATTTTCATATAGTGATTTGAAATTATGTATCACAACTAATATTGGCGCCAGAAGTCAGAGCAGTCGTATGTTTTTTGAATAACTTTCGATAGGAACAAGTTAGAGACCTGTGGTTTTCAGTAATCGATAGAAGATTATAGGGGACACATTTTTATATAAAAACCAAGGTTTAAATAATCAGGCACAATAGGAGTAATTTTTGAATCACTGAAAGAATAGGCTCATTATTTGGTAAAATCTCAGCAGAACAAGCTGAAACTTTCAGCATATATAGTCCCACTGTAGTCCAATCTTTCCTAAAAATATCATTGATAAATCTTTTAATGACGAGGAATGGTGTGCCAATCATCATCTGGTCTTACATAAAGCTCTTATTCACTCAATATATTAGAAAATGACCTCAACTTTTGGCTGAATAAGTATCATGATCTAGACTTCATATCTATGCAAT